ACAAAGTGTACCAGACTTGTACTACAGAAGTGTACCCTAACCCTAACCCTAACCCTAGCCTTAACCCTAACCCTGACCCTAACCCTAAACATACCTCATATAAAAATATAAACATACTACTAAACAACCTCAAACTACATCGGGTACATATCTGTAGTACCTGATACGACAACGACCCCATCTGCGTGAGTAACTGCTGACTGAGGTGCATCTATCGACACAGGGGGGGGAGGGTCGTGCATGTGTGTGTGTGGGGGGAGGGGGGCGTGCGTACGTGCGTTTGTGTGTGGGTGGGTGTATGTGCGCGTGCGTGTGTTTGTGTGTAGGTGGGTGTGTGTGCGGGTGTGGGTGTGCGTGTATGCGCGTGTGTGCGCGTGTGTGTGTGTGTGTGCGTGCGTGCGTTGGTTGGTTATACCTGTCTCATGTGGCTCGTCTTTGACATGATACATTGATCTGTTGTGTTTAAACAAAGTTCGAATGGCCACTATTTAACTTGCTGGCGGTGCTGTTAACCAGTAACTGCCCGTGTGTTTGAACAGCGGGGGTAGCCAGGGATACGGGTTGCCGACTAGGTACAAGTTTACCGGCCCTGTCTGCGCGCGTGTTCTGTTCGCTGTGTCTGGGACTCTGCGTGAAGTTTCCACCAGGTACACGCTGTAGTTTGGCGCACCTTTGCTCACGTAGGCGTTTCTTATTATGACGTAGTTTCGAAATTGCTCGGTTTCCACATGCGCACCTGCGAGTGCGTGAGTGTCTGCGTGTGCTTGCGTTTGGGGTGCACGTGTGCGAGGCGTATTCCGCGAGGCAACTTTTAGATGTCACGGCGGCTATTTACGACTTCGCGGTGATGATCTATGGATAAAAAATTTCTCCACTACATTTATGCAGTAGTTGGTGGTGTGTGCTACGCGTTGTGCCAGCGATAGATAGATAGACATGTGGCGTAGTGGTGGTTTCTTCTTCACGAAGCGTGGAAACCGTCCGGTAGGTAGGTGGGTGGGTGGGTGGGTGGGTGGCAGTGGAGATGGTGGGTTGTAAACATCACTGTAAACTTAAAGTGATTACGTATCTTCGTAAATAGTAAAACTAAAAAAAATATTTTCACTTTTTCACAAAATGTAAGTAACTTTTTATGGTTAAGTTGCTGCATAATACTTCTTATTTTACTATATTGTAATATAATATACTATATTGTATTGTTAATGTAAAAAAATGGCAACAAACATTTTACAAAATACACCATAGAAAATTCGTGACGTAGTCAATTTAATGGCGGTACGAGACAAAGTCCACGTTAGTACTAGCATGAGCAAGAGTCCATAATATAAAATGTGCTATTATGGACTCTTGCTACTACGTACGTCTATGTGTGGCAGCGGGGTTAGTCTGTAGTGAGTGTACCATATATTGCTGTCACCACATCCATCACTGCGCGTTAGGCCGCGGTGCTCTTGCTCATCTCCTCTCTCTTCGTCTCTCTCTGCCTCTCTCTCTCTCCTCTCTCTCTCTCTCTCTCTCTCTCTCCTCTCTGTGTCTCTCTATCTCTCTCTCTCTCTCTCTCTCTCTCCTCTCTCGTCATCTTCTTCTCTCTCGCTCCTTCTCTCTTCCTGCTCCTCCTTCTTCCCTTCTCTCTCTTCCATCTCTCTCTCTTCTCATCTCCTCTCTCTCTCTCTCTCTCATCTCCAGTCTCTCTCTCCTCATCTCTTCTCTCTCTCTCGCTCCTCTCTTCCTGTCTCTCTGTTCTTCTCTCCCGCTCTCCTCTCTCACGTCTCTCTCCTCTCTCTCCTCTCATCTTCTCTTTCTCTTTCCCTCCACAGCGTGGCTCCCCCCCCTCCCCTCGTTCACCTCCCCTCTCTCTCTCTTCTCTCTCTCTCTCTCTCTCGCTCTCTCTCTCGGCTCTCTACTCACCTCTCTCTCCCCCCCTTCTCTTTCTCTCCCAGTGGGAGAACGAATTCCATTGCCAAAAAATTGCATGATGCAAATGTGCTATACAAATATAACACTTTGCATTAGATGTATTATAAATGTGTAGAGGGCATTTTTTTTTCAGACAATCCGGGGCAGTGCAAATTTTACACGCAGCTGCATGCTTGGCGTGCTATCGTGTCGGCCTGGTGCTGACAGGGCCCACAAGCTGCTTAAGCCTAGTGAACACACTAGCCCGACTTCTGTACGCTGCCCGGCATGCGTGGTTTTAAACAGCGTGCCGGAGCTTAGGCACTGCGCCCGCTCGCCAATGTCCGAGTGAATAATAAATATCGGGGGCCTGCGGTATGTTAATCTGCGAGTCTGGAAGCTAAGGCGTGACTCGCCCATGTTGGCGAGTCTAAAAATAATTCTCTAAACTTTAATCAAATGTTTGGTTCCTTAAGGGCCGGACCACCAGGCGATCTCTGCTCCGGCGATGGCATCGCCCGATTCTGCGCGCGCGCAGTGCGCTTGGCTTGAGGAACTCTGATGGTGATGAATTGTATAAAATCGGGCGATGTTATCGCCGGTCACGCGGACACACCAGGCGACTCTGATCGGGCGATGGCATCGCGCGATGGATTGGCGCGTATATCAAAAACGTTTGATCTGTAACCATTGCGGGATGCGCATGGGGGGTCGTCCCGAGAATCTGGCGGCCGATTGAGTTGGGACACACCAGGCGATTTTCACGCCGATGCATCGCCCGATGGCAATCGCCTGGTGTGGTCGGCCTTTACGTTATATATCCAACCAAATTGATGAAAACAGTTTATCGATTGTGAGGGCGGCGTATCGACTCCTCGACCACGCTCTAACTTTTATTATCCAAAGGTCGCCGAAGAAAGCAGCGCCGCAGACAGGTGCCGTCCAGCACGATGGCTGTGTATTACGTGCTCTGCGGGCGGCATATTGATTGATGTACGGAGGGCGGGGATTGTCTTAAAAGTCACGTTGGCTTGGTGTTAACAAGTCATAAATCGGCGGCCGTCGTAACCGTGGATTTTCATTGACGGGGCCAAAGCAGCCCGAGAATATAACAAGTAAATTGTAAACATGTATGTTTCCGTTTAATCTCGCTATGGGCTGCATCGCACAACTGCGATTCATCAAAACAGAAATAAAAAAAAAAAAAATTAATGCGTAGCAAAATGGCTGAATAAATACACCCAACAAACAATCTGTAGCGAAGTGCGATTGTCCCGATACCGGGGACAAGATATTCCCTGCTCTTCATCAGTCTCTTTCCTTCTCTCCCTCTTCGCCACCTCTTCCGCCGGTGTTCCCTCTCCCTCTCCCTCTCCGCCCTCTCCCCCTCCCTCTTCCCCCTCTCTTTCTCTCTCTCTTCTCTCTCTCTCTTCTCTCTCTCTCTCTCTCTCTCTCTCTCCGTCTCTCTTCCTCTCTCTCTCTCTCTCTCTCTCTCTTTCCTTCATTCTCCCGTCTCCCTCCCTCATCTTTTTCTCCCTCTCTCTTCCCTCCATCTCTGTCCTTCCATCTCTCCCTCCCTCCCATCTCTCTTCCCTCTCCCCTCCCTCTCGCTCGCCCTCCCTCTCTCCCTCCAATCTCTTCCCTCTCTTCTTCTCCGTCTCTCTCTCTCTCTCTCTCTCTCTCTCTCTCTCTCTCTCTCTTTCTCTCTCTCTCTCTTTCTGGCTCTCTCGCACTCTCTCTCTCTTTCTCTTTCTCTCTCTCTCTCTTTCTGGCTCTCATTCACCCTCTCTCTCTCCCTCTCCCTCCATCTCTCCCTTCCTCCTTCTCTCCCTCACTCTCCCTCCCTCTCTCCCTTCCTCCCTCTCTCCCTCCCTCTCCCTCTCTCGCTCTCTCTGGGAGTGTGTCCAGTGCACATCATTAATTTTCTAAAAAAACCAGCTTCGTTACGTAGCGACGGGCAATTTGTCAAAGCGAGCGAGCAAGCGAGCGGCAGCGGAGAGGGGAGGGAGGTAACAAGTGCTAGCGACAGCTAGACAACATCATCGTTCAGTCAATGTAGTGCGGCGTGATGTGGAATATAGGCTGGCACGACCCAGTGTTGGTGAAAGGGTCGTTATCGTATCAGGTACTACATATATACATATATATGTTATTGTACCCGAGGTACATATAATTATGTATACACAAAGTGTACCAGACTTGCACTACAGAAGTGTACCCTAACCCTAACCCTAACCCTAACCCTAACCCTAACCCTAACCCTAACCCTAAACACAGGGTACATATATGCTGAGAAGATACAGGTCTGGTATACATATACGTACCTCCGGGTACATATATGTAGTACCTGATACGACAACGACCCTTTCAGACCCAGTGTTGTAGGTAACAGCTGGGTGGTTTAATTCGACAACATTTGGACTGCTTCATGGTGGGAGATGGAAGGAGAGGCAGGGAAAAAGTAAGGGAAATTGATGGGATGAGAGAAGGAGGGAGAGCATAAGAACACATGGGTGAGAGGGAGAGAGAGGAGGGTGAGAGTTTCTGGGGGGGGGGGTCAGGGGAAATGAGATAGAGGGAGGCAGGGTTCTCCAAGCTTTTTCATTATAGCATGGCGGGTGATGCGTGTGTGTGTGTGTTGTGTGTTGTGTGTGTGAGTGTTGTTGTTCCGAGTGTGATATGTGATTTGTCGTGTATGGTGCCGGCGTTGTGTATGCTTATGTGTTGTGTGTGTGTGCTGGTGTGTGTGCGCTGCCGCCTGCATGGCGTGCGTGCGTGCGTGCGCGAGCAGCGAATAGCGAGCTTGTGCTGCGCGCGGCCGTGCTGCTGCCGTGTTTGTGTACTGTTTGGTTGCGTGCAGGCATGCGCTTTGAACACACTTCACGCCCTT